TCGCCGTGTATGAAGCTGAAAGAAGCCTCCAGCTTGATAATGCTAAATGTTTCCAGCATGACAACCCTGCCAGAACAGAAGAGCCCACGTTTTCTCTAACCCCCTCAGGTGGGCAGACATATCCCGACTTCCCTGGCTTTGACAGTTCCTCAGCTAAGGTATGGATCTACCCGACCAACTATCCTATCAGGGAGTACCAGCTGAAGATATCAGAGGCTGCCCTCTTTCAGAACACTCTGGTATGTCTTCCCACTGGTCTGGGAAAGACCTTTATAGCTTCTGTGGTTATGTACAATTTCTATCGCTGGTATCCATCAGGCAAGATTGTTTTCATGGCTCCCACCAAGCCTCTAGTGGCCCAACAGATTGAGGCCTGTTATAAAGTGATGGGGATCCCACAAGCACACATGGCTGAGCTGACAGGTAAAAAAAAGAAAATCACATAAAATCTGATGCACAACACCCATCTTCCCCCTTTTCAAATTCTGCACCTACCGCTTCATAGGTAGCACAGCAGCAAAGCAGAGACAAGAGGTTTGGAGGTCCAAGCGGGTCTTCTTCCTCACGCCTCAGGTCATGGTTAATGATCTGTCCAGAGACACCTGCCCGGCCCAGCAGGTCAAGTGCGTGGTGATCGATGAAGCACACAAAGCGCTGGGCAACCATGCTTACTGCCAGGTACACACACTTTGGAGAAATAATCAAAGCTTGACATCATGAAGTTGTATAAGTGTGAACTAAAGAACTAAATCTTAATGGTTAGTTTTGGGTTTTTTGCAGTAAAAGTTATGTAAACTGTCCAGATTTAGTGGCGATGATGTCTAATGCTTGGTCTTCTTCATTAGGTCATCAAACTGCTCGGCAGCCAGACTTTGCAGTTCCGCATACTGGCTCTTAGCGCCACCCCAGGAGGAGATACAAAGGTGAGAAAGATGCACTTTTTTTTTCTGCGCTGTGACCTAAAAGTGAGTAGACTTTAATCTGCAATCCACCTCACTTCATCCTTCCAGTCGGTGCAATCTGTGATCTCCAATTTGCTCATCTCCCATATTGAGCTACGTTCAGAAGACAGTCCTGACATCCGGGCTCACTCCCACCAGCGCAATGTGGAGAAAGTTGTGGTTCCTCTGGGTGAGGCCCTTTCAGCTTACCAGACACGCTACCTGCAGGTAGGGGCAGCAAATGATTTGTCATGTTTTTCGTCTCTGTTCTGATCAGGACATTGTTTATACTTTTTAAAAATGTAATTCTACAAGGAATAAAATATGTCAGTTCTTTTATTTTGTGCAGAACACATAGGCTGCTTATTGTTTCCACAACCAACATGCACTGACCAGGGGTACATTAAAAAAAAATCTGCCAAATATTATGTATGGTTGTTTTCTGCTGTCAAAACATGGAGTGCATTCATGGATTTTAGGCAGGGTGTGTTATGTGGTTATGTGTCTGGCATGTGGACATACTGTTGGATTGTTTGGGTTGGTGGGTTGTTGCACAGATGGGGTTTATTCTGGTATGTCCCAAGGATGTTTGGATGCTAGGTTCAATACCTTAGGCTCTTTATTGTGTTTTTCAAGCTGTTTTGGAGCAGCTTTTACGGAGTGGCAGATACAGTATCTTCCAGAGGAAGGCGGTTGCTGTTTCTGTGTGATGTGATAGGTAAATAATGAAGTGTCAATGGTGCGTTTCTGTATGCACAGTGTTTGAAAGAATCCAGTCCATGACTTTATTATATATTTTTTGGAAGTTAGTTTTATACAAACTCTTTCTTTGCTTTTTGTCTGCCTGTGCTTGCTTTCATTATTCTGTAGAGCAGCTAAGAGTTTTTCCTTTGGTGCTTTACTGCCACCTTGTGGTAAGTTTTGGCTTCCTTCTGTTATTAAAAAACAGAACTCCTCAACTGTAAAAACTTTTTCAGCTTCACCTCTTTCTCCTTCCTGTGAGGTTCTTTCTGGGTCAGTTCATATTAAATTGATTGATTTGTCCTGAAAGCCACATCCTGTTACACTCAGTGGTCTAGCTTTTAGTGCTGGTAGACTGATCGGCTCTCTCCTCATCATGTTTGTGTCTTCTGCACTTTAAGTGTGCAGCTCCACTTCATTTGTTTCAGCTGGCTGGTTAACAGGAATGTGACACCTGCATTTGAAATTTTAGACCCGCTGTATTTTTTTTCTTTACTGTGTTGCACTTTCTTCCTTTTTAGTCTTTTCCTTCTAATTCTCTCTTTATTGTTATCAGGGCAGAGTTCTTTTTTCTTTTTTCTTTTTTTTCTTTTAGTTTTTTTTCTTTCTCTTCATATTACTCTATGATTGGAGGATGTTGGTAACCTGCTGAAATCCATTTTCCACTGCCAAAACATTGGGTTATTTTGTATTCATTACTGCAGTCATGCAAGCACAATTTAGTAACTGTTAAACAAATCAGAAAAATGAAGCAGTCATGCATACAGGTGCTTTTTCTGTTTTTTCATCCAGCTTTTGGCTCAGACATTAGAAAGGCCAGTGCTTGCCCATATATCGACTTGAGTCGCATTTCTCTTGCGGTTCGATTAAGTGCGGATTTAATGACGGCACATCTAAAGGCTACTGAGCTCAGAAGATATTTGGCTTAAAGCTTACACCTTTTATGGTTGTTGTTATGGGAGCTGTAGGTATGCATTAAAGAACAATTTGCCCAACAAGATTGAATTAACCTAAATGAGGTTATATTTATGACTAAAACTATCTATTACAGTATTATTACTCAGTCTCATCTGCAAGCTAAAAACTCTTTAAGCCTTCATGCAATTCCAGTCAGCTGGCTTTATTTCTTTTAGGTGTTACACAGAGTGCTGTATTGTCCCACGAGCAGCACTATGATAGACTACTGTATACTGCCTGTGTCCTTATTTTTGGATTGTGTAATTACTTTGCTCCAGTAACTCAACACTATCTTTCTGAACTACGCCATTCATACAATCCCAACAGAGCACTTAGATCGTCCAATCACAGGCTCCTAGCACAACCTAGGACTCGAATGAAGTCGAGAGGTGACCGGGCCTTTGCATCCGTGGCACCTAGACTCTGGAATAACCTCCCTGTTCATATTCGTACTGCCGAGTCTATCCAGTCTTTTAAATCACGTCTTAAAACTTATTTTTTTACTTCGGCTTTTGATTCTGTCTAGTTGGCTGGTCTAGCTTGTTGTGTTGTTACCTATTGTTTGTTGTCCTCTTTCATTGTTTGTTTTAACTGTCTCATGCTTTTACTGACTGTGAAGCACTATGGTCAACACTGTTGTTTTAATATGTGCTATATAAATAAATTTTGATTTGATTTGATGTTTTGAAATGGACTATGTCCTACATTTCAGATCTAGGCAGGGTGTGACACCTTTTATTTAATACACTTGGCACCACAAAAAAGAGAGAATAGTCCCCTGGAGGTAAAATAAAAGTATAATGGGTCCTGGAAGCTATTTGCTTTGCAGCCTTAGGTTTTTCTTGGCACACCAACAGATAACACAATCTATTCCTCATGTTTTGTCTCTGCTGGCTCCTTTTTTTTTAATTGAAATAATCAAACCTCTCATTTGTTGTATTTGTAATTCATAATGCGCGCGTGTGGTGTGGTTAATTGGTAGCATATGAAGTGATCTGACTTTTGTCCTTTCTCAGACTGTTTATTTAGGCTGTACTTGGCAAGGAGTAGAGTAATTTTGTCTGCAGCTACTTTGTATCCAAACAGTTTACATAGTAAATCTGGAGCTTTATCATCAGCTCATCTGACTCATAAGACTGGTCGTTATTTAATAAAACTAAATTCTTCATCAATATGCCAAAAGCTGCGCAGAGCTCAAGCTCCGTGTATGTCAACCTTGTAAAAACTTCACCAGAGTAGATTTGAAAAGACAGGAGACAAGCACATTTTTATTAAACAAAAAAAAAAAAAACTACAGTAGCTCATGTTGGTACACTTTAATTTTCACATTACATAACACTTTTGTAGAACACTAGAGAAAAAAAAAAAAAAGCAAAAACATTAAATCTAGACACTTGCAGTTGCTATGTAACTAGGCTCTCAGAGGGAATACCGACCTACACGTAACATGGCTTTGCAAGAGTTTACACCCTACAGATGTCACAGAGTATCATAGCAATGCTACAATCATTTAATGCAGAATAAAGTCTTTGGATTTGGATGCACTGATGTTAACCGGTTCTTCTTGAGATTACGACTGGGCAACCTCCCCAACCCAATACCAACTTTCTTAATTGTAATGCTCTCCGTTTCACACAATGATCATTTTTACCTTGTATTTTCCTACATAAAAAAAAGAAAGAAAAAAGATACAAATGTTCTGGTAAAAATCCTCACACTGTGATAATTTGGCCAATTCTTTACCAGGTTTATCTCACTGGAAGAGAGATTCTCTTATTTCCAGAAGAGAAAAATCCCTGTTATTGCAAACTGCAGGGTTAGCTGGAGTTCTGAATTAATTTGTTTAATGATTTTATATTAAAATATAATGAATAAAACCATCAATCTCTTTATAGACTCTTCTTTTGATAGAAGATTAGTTTAACTGAATCAGAATTGCGCCTTCTATTTTTATCACAGTTATATTCTCTGTTGTGTATCTCTTAACGAGTTTGCATCGTCTCTACTCAGCAGTGGTAGTATTCTCTGTTGTGTATCTCTTAACGAGTTTGCATCGTCTCTACTCAGCAGTGGTAGTATTTGCAATTGTTAGTGAATGATGACTAATACTAAAAAGTAGTTTTTTGTTTATTTTTAAAGCACAAAAAGAGGTACTTGGGTAACTACTTGTGACTGTACAAGACCTGAAACATGAGGAATGCGTTACACTGCATTAGTTTTGTAAGAGAAAAGGATGTATATAATCTATAAGTACTGTATGATTGTCATTCAGCAAAAAAAAAAAATTTAAAAAAAAAATAAAAAATATATATATATATATATATATATATATATATATATATATATATATATATATATATATATATATATATATATATATATATATATATCAGTGAGTGTTTCAGCATTTGGTTTGTAGAAGTGATCTGTGTGTTACCCCCTTGTCCCGTAGATTTACATTCAAGTGTAAACACACATGAACAAGTTCCGTTCAAAAGTGCTTGTTTTCTAAATTAACATCACCGTTTGTGTCAAGCTTATTTATAGTTAAAGCCACTAGTTCAGGTCAAGATGGATGCTGCAGAATCCCCTCCTAAATTTTCATCAACTGAACGCACCTAGATTGGGTTAGGTTAGTGGCCCAGGTACTTCCATGTTGTTATGGTTATCTAATAAATATTGCACTTTTTACTGAATATGCAGAATATGCTGTGTGACTGTTATCACAAACCTATAACCTGTAATGAAGTATGTAATCCAGAGGTAAAGTAACAGTGGATCAACTGTGGCAGAGCTGTAAATGCCTCAATAAGCAAGAGAATGATGGCGTCATTCCATAACAAGACATTGTGGCTGCGCAACAAAAAAGAAGGGAGCACAATATGGCTGCATGTCCACCACGAAGCCTGACTCCTCTGCAGATGAGCAGGCTGTTGCATGTTTCTGACACCACTTAGTGGGCAGTGTGCTTAGGAAAAGGTTGTTAGCCATCTTTAAGCAGGAGTAAATGCTATGCTTCACCCTATCATCTGAGTAGTGTTCACAAGACTATGGCAGTGGTCGAGTTCAGTTCTTGTGTGCCAAATGATCTAACTAAAATGAACAGAAAGGAAAACTGACTGAGGTTGAGCTTGTTGTCATTTAAAGATGAAACCAGATGGTTCTGGAGTGTTGCTGGGCTGGTGGTCATTTCAGGTAGTAGCGGTTGTGACTGACGACGATGTTGCACCTGAGGCTGTAGCTAAGCTGGGGCAGTGTTAAGGGAGTCTTTATGAAGGTTAAGGGTCACAAGTAGGATGCCACGTAATCCCACTATCCCTTAGCGCCGCTCTAAAAACCAGATTTCATTCTGACGGTTGTTGTGAGCAGGGTTGGTGTAGCCGGCCACGATGAATGAGTCGTTGACACACACTCCTGGAGACTCCAGCAGCTCGGCCAAGGTGCTTATCTGGTTTATGATGGTCACTTCATTGGTGGGACCGCTAAAGGCTCTGGAAGAGGGAAGGAGTGATCTATAAGTGTAAAACCAAGCACAAATTCTAACCTTAATAATCACTTACTGTAAAGTCAGTAACAAAAAGGAGGGAGCTCATTTAGAAAAGTTTTTTTAAAGCTACCGTATTTTCACGACCATAAGGCGCACTTAAAAGTCTTAGATTTTCTTCAAAAAGTGCGGCGCGCCCTATAGCGCGGTGCGCCCTATAGCGCAGTGCGCCCTATAGCGCAGTGCGCCCTATGTGTTGTAAGGAGGACGTAGTAGAGAACACCATGAGAACGTTAAAGGGTGAAGTGTGGGCGTTGATCGTATATACCGGGACAATCGCACATACCTGTATAAAAGAACAGGTATGTGCATTATGCAGGACATCGTTGTTTTAACAACCCTGAAAATGGCAAAGAGACACACTTACGAAGCACAGTTTAAACTGAAGGCCATCAGCTACGCGGAGGAACATGGAAATCGAGCAGCGGCGAGAGAATTTAAGATTAACGAATCGATGGTTCGCAAATGGAGGAAGCTGGAAAACAAGCTCCGGCAGGTCAAGAAAACGCAGCTGAGTTTCCGCGGACATAAGGCGAGGTGGCTTGAGTTGGAGGAAAGACTCGAGCGGTGGATCATCGAGCAAAGAGCGAGCGGGAGAAGCGTTTCGACGGTCACCATTCGGCTAAAAGCAGTTTCACTTTCACTTTTTATGAAACGGTGCCATTTTTCCATCTGGACCAGGACTACGGTAGCGCAGCAACCTCCAGCGGATTATAAGGAAAAGCTGGCCATCTTCCGCTCCTACTGCAGCAAACACATCGGCGACAAAAACATCCAGCCCAGCCACATCACAAACATTGACGAGGTCCCGCTCACTTTTGACATCCCGGTCACACTGTGGAGAAGAAGGGGACCAGCACGGTAGCGATACGCACAACGGGGTATGAAAAGTCTTCTTTTACTGTTGTGCTTGGCTGCCATGCTAATGGACAGAAACTGCCGCCTATGGTGATTTTTAAGCGAAAGACTTTGCCTAAAGAGAAGTTTCCAGCAGAAATCATCATTAAGGCAAATGAAAAGGGCTGGATGGATGAGGAAATGATGAAAGACTGGCTGAGGGAGGTGTATGTAAGGAGACCAGGTGGTTTTTTCCACGCATCACCATTGCCGTTGATCTGTGACTATGCGTGCCCATCTCACAGCCGATGTGAAAAAACTTGTGAAGCAAATGAACTGTGAGCTTGCTGTCATTCCGGGAGGCCTGACAAAGGAACTCCAACCGCTGGACATCGGTGTGAACCGCCCGTTCAAAGTAAGGCTGCGAGCGGCCTGGGAGCGATGGATGACCGGTGGAGACCACAGTTTCACTAAGAGTGGAAGGCAGCGCCGGGCGAGTTACGCCACAATTTGCCAATGGATTGTAGATGCTTGGGCTAACATGTCTGCTGGCACTGTTGTTCGAGCTTTCGCAAAAGCCGGCATCATTTCCGAGGAGCCGCACGGCACGGAAAGTGACTCTGATGGTGAAGACAGTGAACCTGGCATGTTTGATGGAGATTTAGCGCAGCTGTTCAATTCGGACACAGAGGATGAGGACTTCGATGGGTTTGATTGATGATAAAAATGTGAGTACCAAACTCAGTTTTGCTCCTGCTTTATTTTTAAATAGGCACACTTGTATGCTTGTGTGTTGTTGATGACGACGATTACCGGCAATAGAAATGTGAGTAAGGTACCGAATTCAGGTTTGCTCCCGCTTTATTTTTAAATACGCATACGGTACTTGTATGCGCCCTATGGTCCAGTGCGCCTTATGTGTGTGTTAAATACAGTAAGGGCACACATAACTGAGACTGCGCCTTTTAGCACAGTGCGCCTTATGGTCGTGAAAATACGGTACTAACCTCGTATATACAACAGTGGCAGGCCAGATCTCAATGACAATGTCGCTGTCGTGAGGTTGGGGGGGCTGGGCCTGGTGCTCAGTGGGAAGGTAGTAAGCCACAGTGACATCAGGGGACATTGCAGAATGATTCTCATCTGTGCGCACCACTGTTACAATAGGCAGCGTCATGCCCAGATAGTCACCTACATGTAGAAAAAAGCAAAGTATCACTGTCAGGCTGATATAAGGAATAGCTTAAATCAGCTTGCCAGCCTCTAATCGTATGCGTAAAAAAGTCTCTTGCTTCCGGACTCACCTAAGGAGTTGTGTTGGCAGATGTATCTCATTATCCTCATAAAGCCATAGCAAATGCTCTGTTCATACGTCTCCTCACGCATTATTATACAAGCCCAGTGACCCTTTTCATAGTGGCGTTTCTCATACAGGATCTCACCACACTGACAAAGAAAACACAGACAAAAACATAAACATCCTAGGAATACTCTGGTAGACGGAGCAAAGGTTTTGACAGCTGTGGACACGAATGTCTGCAGATTTGCATATTTCAAGAAACCAAGTACAGTGGTTGGCCTTTTAAGTGTACATAAAAGTAGCACGTCTTGTGAATATTAAATACTTCAAATCAAAATTATTTGTTTTACCCACATTTTCTTTCCTTTTTTAAAATAAGGTTACAGGTTTTACAAAGGCAAATTATGCACTCAGGTTTTGTTTCTTTTTTTAATTGAGTCTTCACTAAGCTTTCCAAATAAAATGAACCTCTTATTTACTACAAAACTCCCTCAGTTCTCAGTATTTTTTTTTTAAATTGTTCTTAAATGCATAGGAAACTTTTCTTAAGCAGGTACAACAATCTTATTTTTCTTCACTTACGGTTGTGCGATCTGTAAATCTAAAATCAACTTAAAATGACAGCATGTTTTATGCCAGGATTCAGGAAGGAAACTGGACTCTGGATGTTAGCAAAATGTGTGATTTACAAGATGCCCAAAACGGCTCTAAGAATAGCGTGCCGTGACTGCCCTTTGTTTAACTGGAGTCTCCGGCCAAGTTTTAATGAACTAATTAACTCAAGTTAAACCAATTAGCCTATTTTATTTATACAGTCCACAAAGGACTTTAAACAGCTTTGGGTGACACGATCACTTTGACAGAAATAAAGATCTGACCCTCACACAGAGAAAACATGTACGTGACTGTAGATTGACATTTGTGTTTTTTTGGGGTTTTTTTTGGATATCTGTAGAGAGGAGTCGTTTACATGTAGGATTTATTTGTACAAATCCTATGTGTGTTGTAGTACAATTGGGGGGGGATTGTAATTCAGGTGTAATAATAATAATAATGTCAGACTTAAATATATAATTATATTTACATAAACTTGCAATGAGCTTAATCATGTTTAGGTTTATTGACAAAAACATGGCTCCACTGTATTAAGTAGTTTACAGTCTTTCTTATGTAGAGTATACTTAACTTTTTGATGGACCCTTCAAATACTTGGAGGGTATAAATATTCAAGTCTATTTCTCAGTGCAGATATGTTCCAGTCCTTTAAACTGGGTGACCTATTTGGCAGCTGCTCATTTATGCAGAACATTAAAATGTATAGGAAGATGGTGATTATATCCATTTCCCTTGACAAAGTAGTAAAAGCCAGTGATACCTTCTCTTTGCGTCCAAGGAGGGTAAACGGGATCTGCTCTCTGTGACTGCGTCCTTGGTTATTGGTGCTTAGCTGTTGAATGGGTTCTGCCATATCTGTCAAACAGACAAACATAACCCGTTACACACACAAAAAACATGTCTATAAGATAGTTTGTAGCATGTTCGTGGCAGTTTGATACACCCAACTGAGCCTGTGTACTGGGAATTCAGTAACAGGCTTTTTCTTGATACCATATTCGGCCTTCCATGCTAAGGAAATTAAAATGCATTAATACAAATGTGTATAGTCACGCAACTCCCTACTATGATGTCCAAATAGTACATATTATCTCTTGCATTGTATAAAAATGTGCAGTGTGCCCTCTTCTCTGTGCGAAATGTCCTCAGTTGCAGTAATCTGTTGGCTGGCAGTGTTGTTAGTTTGAGGGAGAAAGCGCTGCCAGCTGGGAAGAGCATTGAGCCAGGATGTTGAAGAGAGTTATGTTTATTAGAGCTGATGGAAGGGAACATTGACTAAAGCTGCCCAAGGCCAGGTATAGACTGGTATTAACTGAGAGAGACTACAGCACTGGCCAATGGTTTTGAAACCTTATTCACCTGCTCTTTTACAGCACTAGAGATGCCTTGGCACTTTGCAGTATTTTATGCTCATTCATTTCATTTAGTTAATTTATTAAACAAACAGAAAATGAATTGCAAAAAAAAACAAACAAAAAAAGACTAGTGTACACTCCACTGATTACAACTACCAAAGGGCTACTTATCCTCAAACTTAACATCACTACAGAAATGAACAATCAAACACCAGGCACTTAAGGTGAATCCAATTCAATCACATTTTATCACTCAATATCATGAGGGCAACAAGGTCAGAGAGATGTGTGTTATTTAGGGGATCAATTACTTGGCAACAGAGAAAGCAGACTGATGCATGTAACAGACAAAGAGTGTCTAAATATTTAGTAGGATCTCATGAAGCATTACGCTGTGCAGTCCTGGCAAAAAGGTTTTGGCATTAGCACCACTAAATTTCTAATTAATTGCCAATAAAAGTTTTTGTAGCTTATGAAATCCTTGTTTTTCACTAGTTATGCAAAATGAAGTGGCAAAGTGCATTTTAAAAAACCCCCCCAAAAAACGAACTTTGTGCTGCAGCCAAAACAGCAACTGTACAGACAGGTTTCTTATTTACAAACATTACTGAGGGAACAAAAGGGAACAAAACTTCTTTGGTAGTCAGTCACCAGATTGTAATCAAAGAAAATATGCCATTTTTCAACATATGTATATATATATATACACGTTATATATATATATTTTTTGAAATTTTTTTGTTTGTCGTTTTGCAGTTTCCTCATTCAATAGTTAACCAGATTTAGGAGCAGGGACCCAGAATGAACAATAAAATGTTTTAATTTCTAAAATTTTATCTATGACAGCCTCGCCCCCACCCTCACCAACACACGTGCAGGCATGTACTGATTGCACAATCAAGAAAACTCATCAGTTTCAATGGCGGAACTTCCAAAGCTTCTCAGTGTTGACGCAGAACAGTCAACACAAATGCTTGTTTTTGTACCTGAGCTTTCTAATCAATACAGAGCTGTAGTCACGTCCCACTTTCAGTGTGCCTCCTGTTCCACTAACCTCCGTTTCACTCCCCTTGTAGTTGCCAATTGTACATACATAACAAATTGCAACTTGTTAATCAAAACTATTTCATCACTTAAACATTTGTTATAAAGCATCAGGCTGGACTCAAATGAGGATGTTTGGCTGGAAGCAGGCCTGAGCAATTAATCAAAAATGAATCAAAGCCGACAAGAACCTCTAATCGATGTAATCGTGCTCATGCCATTGTTGTTTTAGTTATTTTGGTTTTAAATTCTGTTAATATGTCCCCCTATTATGTACTGTATGTGTTGCTGGACCCTTGTCCAGTCTGTGACATGGAAACCTCATGCATTTTTGGCTTTACTAAAGATCACAGAGAAACCAAAAACACTGCACAAAAATAGTTTCAGCAACTGAAGTTAGTAGTTAGTTTTTGAAGTTAATACTAACTACTAAAGTTGTTGTAACAGAGTTACAACAGCTTTAGTACAAACCTAGTAAGACCACTGCGTGTGCCAAATACTTCATTGTCATATTAGATAAGCAGACATAACTAAATTTGTTTTGTTTTTCTTAAATTTCATTTAAATTTGTGTGATACTGTCAATCTTAAGGGACACTATGGCATGTCAGCGATCAGCTTGGTTCATTGGATAGTCACTGATGTAAAGTTAAACACACCATGCAGTGGGTGTTGAGTGAGCTCAAAGTGGCATGAACATTCATCTTGTTTACATGCTAGAAACTCTTCATCCCTCCATCACAGCTGGTTATATCTGCTCTCTTGACCTCATTTTACTCTTCAGTGAGTCAATTATCATCTTTGTCTCCAGCATGAAAATTACAGTCTAAAGGACTTTCCTGGAGTGACATCAGGGTATCCTGAAAGAGTCGATAAAACAAACAAACAAAACCTCTAATGAAACTGGTTGCTATGGATACCAGTTACAATATATTGATCAATGATGTGTTCATTCACCAGCTGAACATTGGCCTACTGGAAAATAAGAAGTGATTAAATGGTGCCATTGGCCAAGGTTTATCCATTATGGCACATTGCTTTTGATGTCATATCTTCATAAATCTCTGTCACTGAACTCGTGTGTAACTGGCTGGAAGGTAAGTGAAGAACAACAACAACAACCCCCCCCCCCCCCCCATTAAATATCAAAAACATCTGGTCTGTTATCAGCATCGGGCATTTTAATAATCTGGTTACTGGTCAAATTATTACTATTTTAAAACAGCAGCACTGGTCTCAGTCCCAATTAGAGCAAAGCAGTTTACTGTGGCCTAGGCTTGTCCCCTTAGTACGACAGTGAGGCCACAACCTCAGTACCAGCATAGGCAAGGTATTTAATCCCCTCTGAGTCAGAAAGGCCCAGCAAGTGATTTTGTCCTTAGTGCTGCGGTCAGGGAACAGAGGGAGGAGGATGTGCCAGTCTGTTACTGGATTCCCTAAGGGCAGCCAAAGAGACAAATAGCAGATGGTTAGAAACTAAATGATTGGGTATCTAAAGGTGATAGTAGATAATTAAATTCTTTGAATTGTTATAAAATATAGTTTTCCTAAGTACATCTAATTTTTTTAAGCTCCTTGCCACCACATAATATTTAATAAAAACAATTACTTTTGTTAAATAATTTGAGTTACACATATACTGAAGTATAGACAAGAGGTTACATGTAAACTGTATTCAGCCTAAAAGAATCCATGTATTCTGACATACAGAGGCTGAACTAATAAGAAGCCTGTGATTTGGTTTAGTGCCCCATAGGGCAGGTTTTATTGCTGTCGAGCAGGAATTAAAATTAAAAGTTTAACTGATCTCAATAGGCTTATTGTTCAGGTCTCTGTTTCCATGATCTGCGATCACCAGTGACTTGAAAGACTTCTGAGTACGAGACTACTGTTTTTGTTGTTGGCTCCTGCCGAGCACAACGTCTGAATTCACATGCTAAAATCAAACTTAGAAAACTACAAGTTTGCAACATTTGTTAGTAATCAGCAAAGCAGAATGAACTGAAAAAAGGTAAGATTATATTTGGTTGTGGTTTTTTTTTTTTGCATAGAGCAATTCTGAGCACGCCTGCATAAAACCCACAACCAAATGTAATCTTACCTTTTTATGTTTTAACCAGATCCAAAGGATAATGATGAAGACTGTAGTCATGGCTAAAGATTTTGGAAATGGGAACACTGCCAGAATTAACTTTTTAATTTATCTGAATACAGGGTTTTGAAACTCGTGAAATCCTTGTGTATGTTCTTCATTTTTGCAGCTGCCAAATTCTTTTTACTCTGTTATTAATTAGGGTTTTGTATATTCAGTATTAATTGCATTTGATTTAAAAAGTGGTCAAGGCACAAACAGGAAAATTCATGGATTTCTATCAACTAAAGTTCCACAGACTCGTTGCCTTTACTGTATGTGGACAAACCATTTTAACTTAGTCATCCTGCATTCTGAGCCAGGAAAAACCAGGCAATCCAATAGTTTTCCAAATAAAATAATGGAATGCTAATAGAATCGAGAAGACCTGATTGAATCGGTGACTAAAATAAACCGACCCTCTTTTGCCAATTTGGTGTCAGAATTAATATTCTCAGTGGTTAATACTTCTAAGTTAAACACAAAGCAATGTTGCAACTTAAAATTACATCTAAAGACTGTATGAGGCATGTGTGTTTTGTGCCGGACATGCTATGTGAGGAACAGTTTAATAGTACATTCAAATCAAACTCAGCATCTCAGTTGTTGCTTAAAACCTAAAACCATGAACAAGGCATTCTTGAGCAACCCTGATTACATTATAAACACTTTGTAAATACATCATGCACACATAAAAACACATTTCCATATGGACCAACAACTGTGTTGTGGTCGTGAATATAGAGCACACTCCTTAGTTCATCTCTCACCCTTCTGCTCGTCTAACTGAGCGAGTAAATGAACAAGGAAATAAGAGTCCTACACCTGCATTGTTTTGTACGATTTCAAAAATCGCTGTACATATATAGCTGGTTATGTGTGTGTATCACCTTTTAACAATTGGTTTTCGGTGTTCTCTCTTTTCCAAATTTCAGGGGAAAAAAAAAGACGTTTTTTTTCTATCAGGTCCAGGTATGACTGAAATTTTTTATTTGTGTTGATAAAGCAATGCAGGTGTACCAATGCACAAGTAAAAAAAAAGCACAGCATCACAGTCTGTGGTTGAACTGGCCACAAGTAAACAAAACATTGTTAAGGAAATACTAGTGACTGTAAACAGAGTTGATCATTGTGGGTTAACAAAGTGCAAATCCGTTAGCTTTATTTCATGAATTATATGTCAGACATATCACACATGTGGTTATTGTGAGGTTAAAAAAAGGTCCATTGTGAAATCACAAATACAGTCAAGCTCATGTTATGATTCTTTGTTTTTATACTTCTGTAACCTTACCGAGTTATTCCTCTAACAGGGATATAGTGCTGAATCAAGCAAATAATATATATAAAACCCTGTTAGGCACATCTAACAGTGTGAGTGGCAAATGTGTCTGTCTAATTTGCGAGTGTACACTTTGTATTTCCCATCAAAACAAAACAGCCTGTCATCTGCCATCAACCACACAATTTGTTTTTGTCTATGACCAACAAAAAAAAGGAAGCCAAAGCATCTCTATTAATCTTAACACAAATTCTAATATTACTATATTTACTACTAGATCAAACAGGCTATTACTACATAAGTATTAGATTTGTTGCCCTGACCTAATACCTCTATCATAATATCACAGTGTCTATAATGTTGCAAACCAATATTATGAATATTTTGAGTTGTAAGCAGACAGATGTATATGCCGGACTGTTTTATGTGCCATACATGGTCCATGATTTTGTAGCAATAGCTGAGCCTTACACACCATTTATTTGATGTGAATAACTCACTATACTCACTGTGCCCCCTGTTTAAGAGTTAAGTGTGGCTTTACTATTGTGACAGATGAACTATTTACTCAAGTAGGCCAAAGGCATAAATCTGCAAATATTCAAGCATAAAAAGTAGTAGCCATTAAAACAATAGATTTTAAGCCCTATACACTAAATCTCTTACTAGGGATCCTGGAGGCCCCATGGGCAAACTGTAGGAACCACAACTCTGTGTGCCTCATATTGTTTTTCCCGTTTAATTACAACCCTTCTGCCCGAAAGTGTTTTTAGTTTTAGCATGCATTTATTACGTTCACATTTTTAAACTAATTTACAAATTTTACAAGTTTTTTTTTTTTTTTTTTTTTTTTACGAACTAAACACATGCTTGTCTGAAATTAAGAAATGTTCTGGCTGGAACAGGTTTGTCTATGTCCCTAACCGGAATCTAGGTCAATGTACGTGGATCCTTCAACAACAAAAAAATTGAGTGCCAAAATTAAACATCCCTTTAGCTGTTATTTTGACTTGTTTTCCGCTCTTTCTATCCCTCACATTAAAGTTTATAAAAGAAACAGGAAGAGTAGGCTACTAAAACTACGAGGCTAAAAGCCAAGGTGTATGTCAGCTACGTTGGCATGTACCTTTTTGGTTTTTAACAATTCCCCCAACATCATTTCTGTATATAAATATAGATATATATGTATATTTTCACCTTGAGAAACTTCCACTTGGTGTCCCCTCGCTACCTCCTGCCAGTAATGTAGCAGGCGGTCTGGATTTTCGTCTTCCTCCATGGTCTGGCCTTCTTCTTCGAGACTCCCATTGCCAGAGTCTTCGGGCTGGTCCTCCGAGAAAGACTCCAGGTCCTCCAGTGTGATCATCCCGTGTCGGTCGGGGCCGCTACCGTCTCCACTACTAGGACCGCCGCCACTCATCTGGCAGCCACCTCGGTCCATTTTTTTCTTTGTAAAATTGCCTAGTACCTAATGAGATAACTGTCTCAAATTAATAGGCAAAAGAATAAATGCTTCAAAATCGTCCGGAACGACGATTTGCTCAAGCGCTAGTCTTCTTCCTTCTACGCGCCGCGTTGTTTTTGCTTGTCCAGATTAGGACAACCTTTACTTTATGGTCGACAAACCAGGCGCTACTAAGCTTCACCCGATGCACATAGCCATGTTTGCATAGCTGACTTATATACACGACTTAAACGACGCATTTTCTTTCACCGGGAGCACTTTGGAGCCGCTGAAAACAAAAAAGTCAACGTCTCTTTCGCTCGTGCGGAGCAGCGTGACGCTTCCCTTGTAGTCGCCGGAGGTCAGCGCTATGTTTATAGAGATGAGGGCGGGCCGTAAAACCACGTGATCTGTGGGCTCCCACACCCCCACCTCCTCTCCTCACACCCACCAAGACCCCCTACCCTTACATACCTCACCCAGCAGTTTACCTAGAAAGGTTTAGCTAATGGCAGCATTAAAAAAAAAAGCTTTTTATAGTAATTTTCAAGTTCGTTTGTAGCTATTATTTACTAATTAAACAATTAACCTTGGAGTCTCTATGTGAAGTAGCTATGTAATTAGGCTATGTATTTGTTGTTTGCTTGTCAAATAAGCTGCAAGCCCTTTCCCCCCCTATTTTCAGTTAATTCTAAAATTGTTTTCTTGCTTAATTACAGAGTTCTTTCTATAATTTATCTTGTAGTCCCCCAAGGACATGGTCACAGCATGTAGCTTGATTGTGACTGACCATGACATCAATAATTTCAATTACAGTAATTGTATTAAAACAGAGCAAAGCCGGGAATTTTTTCATTTGAGAAGCTGACATTTTAACTGACCTTTTAGGAAGAGAAGATGCATTTCTAGCATACTGTTGTTCTTTTTATTTTTTATAAAATGTATTCCTTTCACTTTAAATTATACTTGTTCTCTTATTTCAGTTACATCTTGATTTGGTTACATTTTGGTTATTTTTTATGTACATATACATTTTTTTAGTTAAAACCTAAGTCTCCCCTTTTCTATTAATCAGTCAGAAAAAATGCTTTCTAGATTGGTATTTAAAATGTTCTACTTGTGTAATAAACTTCCATTCACTGTCAGCTTAAAGGATCATATATTTTAATGTATTTTTCTGTCACAGTAACAGCTTTGCATTTCATTATTGTGTATTTTTTGCATCCAAATGCTTAAAGAAGTTGATGACATCCTTGACCTTAAGAACGCAATTTTTTGGCCTGCATTTACATCTTTGCCGTTTATTTAAAGCAAGCTATAAAACCTATAAAAGAGTGATAAAAATGTATTTTAAATAGTAATCAGTTCTTTTCTTTGCTAGATCTTTTTAATATTTTTTTTTAATCTGTAGTCTTTCGACAGATTTTTTTTATTCCCAGGCAGTGGATTATAAGCACACGCAAACTTGTGCGCTAGGGGACTGACTAGGCAGGATTTCCTCTGATCTGTGTCACTGCAACAGCCAGCCACCATGCTGCACCCTTCAACAGGCACGTAGAGAGGATATTATATAATCTACTATAGTTGGTGTGGGAGGGTCTGTGTAAATACACTGAAAGACACACCTACAATGGTCTACAAGGAGGGAGTGGGGGGGACCCGTGGCCCCTCCATGGCTGTGCCTTTCCACCTACACAATCACTAGTTTTGTCTTTTCCCTCTCTTCATTATAAGCCATCACAGACAGATATGGATTCACAACAGCAGCCTTGTAGCAGCAGTCGCCTCATCAGCTGTCACATGGTTAACCATACTGAAGTGTGTACTCTTCATTTAGCAGCTGGTTCTTTTCTCTTTAGACTTATTCAAAAGTGTCAGTGATACTAAGACAGTTTTACTATGCACACAAAAATACAGACACAGAACTCTTGACACACAGACACACAAATACATCATGAAGACCTCCTCGTTGTTTACATGACAAAGTGAGAGTTCAGTTTAGTATAGGTTATGTTATTAATAGCTGCCTATAGACAGACTTTGACCAATTCCTCACGTCACTTAGCTCCATGGCTCTCAACCAATCAGCCGCTGGAACCCACAGAGCATGCTCATTGAGATTGTCAACTACATTATTGTCAATTGGGCCAAGCTCTTTTTTGCTAGCACTAGATAAATCAAAGTGCAATGTCTACACCATCTTTATATTACTATCCTTTATTTCAGATAGCATTTGCCTTATGCTCAAGTTGCTAAATGTACATATGAAAATGTATTTTAAGTTTGCATTCCCAGTTTCCACATTTAAATCAGAAAATGCCAATCAACACCTTAACCTTTACCTCCAAAGTAATTCTTTCGGCAAAGTAAATCACTGGATACCCTTGGAAACAAACTAGTGCTGACACTAATCATAAACTGAGGCCAGGATTTGCATTGATTTCTACACAAGAGGAGGTATAAATAATCAGACATATTACTTTCAAAGTAGACACTTTTCTTTCAGCACATTCTGTTATTTCACTTCACATTCCAGGCAGCCTAAAACAGTGACCTCACTAATCTGGTTCTGAGTAATCTCATAATCTGGACCTGACCGCTGTGTACACATTTCCACACTGAGCTCCACCTATCATTCTACAAGCTGGTTGCTGCTAGCGGTCCTTTCTCTTGACATGTAAAATAATAAAAAAATATCTTATAAGTAAGAAAGGGACACACAGCAGCTACAGTAAGAGGTGCAGACACAACTTTGTTCTTCACTATCTTTACATCGATTGAAAATCAGTGGAATGTCATGAATGACTAGGATTGTTGTCGACACTAAATTTAATTGCAATCAATAAGTTGTTCAAGCATCTATGGTGGATGCATAGATGAAGTAAGAAAATTATCATACCTTCTAGTGATTCTAAAAAGTTCTAAAAAAACATCTGCGCTTTTAGCTTCTGCATTGTCGGAAACCCAATGTTTTGTATTCATCTGTCATTTTGCTCATCATCTTGCAGACGATATACTAATATATCACAGTAAATGGGGAAAAAAGGGGAAAAGGCTGTAAAACTGTTTTATCCCCAGAGTGTTTGTTCATATAAACAAGCAAATCCATCATTGGCTCCATCCTTGTCATATTGCAGGTAGATTTCATTGTAACCATTAATAGAAATGCCTACAGCATTTTTGCTGCCCATCTGTACTCAGTACTACATTGAACATTGAGTACTACCTGAACTGTGCAATTATATCTCCATCCAGCACCCATTTTGGAATTTTGATTTAGCTGTAACCACCTCACCTAATTGAGGTGGTTAATTGAGCTTAATAAGAAAAAAAATCCTGTGTGACATACATTTTGTGAAACTAATAAATATCTATCTACACACATATCTATCTATATATCTATCTATCTATCCATCTATCTATCTAAACATCTATACATCTATCTATCTATACATCTATCTATCTACACATCTATCTATCTATACATCTATCTATCTATACATCTATACACACACACACATCTATACACACACACACATCTATACACACACACACATCTATGCACACACACACATCTATACACACACACACACACACACACACACACACACACACACACACACACACACACACACACACATCTACACACACACACACACACACATCTACACACACACACACACACACATCTATGCACACACACACATCTATACACACACACACACACACACACACACACACACATATTAATGCATATTAATCTCAGAGAAACAGGTTGTCCTTAAGGAGATATGGGGCATGGCCTCAGCTCAGTTCACTCATAAAGAGTAAATCTTCATTTCTGGTTCATTATCGCTTACAATACCTTTTATTTACTTTGTTAATTTTGATGCTTGAATGCCCTAAAAAACAAGAAAAATTGCTTGCCATGTGTTATATAATTTTGTTTTTAGACACTAGTTGACTCCACCGGGTAACCTACTTTTTTCCAGGGTAATTTTGTTCCATTCACTTTGCAGAGTTGCTTTTCCACCCAGCTGAAATTGAAAATGTAATGACCCAGCCTCCCATTATCCACGGTCATGAGGATGAATAGATGTTGGTAAAATTGTCTCTTGGAAAAATCGCTTCAATCTGTTTTCCCATTATAAGAAAACAAGGACAGGGGAGATGAGAAACACTTCAATGCAATTTAGTGTTAAGAAGTCAGACTTTCATTTAGTCTGTGTGTGAGGCTGTTTATCAGTAGAACAAACATCTGTATGTTCCTGGATGTACCTTTCAGCTCGGGGTCACTAGGATGCAACTAGTCAGTGTTATGCATAATGCCCCCCTCAAAGAACAGGAAGTGGCCTACAATTGATCACCTATATATGTGTTTGCCTCCATTTGTCCAGGTGCTGGAGAAATTCATGTCTCGTCTGGTCCAGAACCGAGTGATGGGCCACAAGGATCTGCGGACTCTTACCAAATACCAGCTCATTCTTGCCAGGGATCAGTTCCGAAAGAATCCACCATCACACCTCAAGGCATGTAATGACTGTGTCCCATTGTGGTATCTACTGTCTGCTGTAATATGTAATTTTACATGATATGATATACAGGTTTTTACATCTACTAAGACCCATTTTAAGAAAATATGGGGCCTTGAAACTCGAGACATGTAGCCAGCTATTTAATGATTTAACTGTGAATGCATCTGTTGTTCTGAATATTATTTAATAATCAAGTCGCTAATCTTCATTTACAAGAATATGGAAAGAGGGTAGCCTGTGGTGATGCATTTATAGAGAATTATCCCCCTTGTCTCTACAGAGCTTTATCATGACTTTTTGCAGGACTTTGTGTTTATCTGTCTGGCTTGCAACTTTAATGCTACTTTGATTCACTGTCACTTCATTTTCATAATGCTCCAGTAGGCAGCTGTTTCCAGTTAAAACACTGTACCAAAACAGGCATACGGGGGGAGTACCAAAGAAAAAAGCTAAGCACTTAGCAGATGCTAAGAGACAGATGTTTCCCTCAGAAACTAGTAATACCAAGAAAAGATTTCAAAAGATAGTGAACTTGGGCTTTTAATTGCAAAACGAACAGAAACACAACTCCAGATAAAATTAAGTGCTGTTGTGTTGCATATGCAAATAAGTGATTGATTGCACGGCAAAAGATTCAGCATATATACTTCCAGTTGCTTACGGTTATTTAGAATAAGCCGGGGTTGAGGTGTGCTGGACGATAGTCTTTGGTTCAGTGGAGAAAGAAATCCATTATTCACTTTGTTAGTGGAACATTTTATATACTCCATTTTTGTTTAAAAAATGTTATTACTGCAGTTGAAGAAGTTATGGACAGTTT